TTGGAGTAAAATTAACAAAAGTCCAATGTACCTACTAATTAGAGATCATATTGAGATGAATTTCCATATAAATATCGTTCAAAACTTAAAATCAAAGCACAATTTCAACAACTCCAAAATTCAATCAACCCTTTTAAATAAGAATCTAAAAGCACCATCAGCATTAGTAAATCAATTAAAACTCGATAACATAAGTGCCCATTTGATAGAACTCCCTATAACAGAACATAAGCTCTAAGAAAAAGAAAACCATAAAAATCAGTTAGCAGAGGCCAAACCCATAATTTGGAAATGTATAAAAAGCTGATATTAAATCCAGAAATGAATTAAGCAGCAGAAAATAATAAACAGATAGTAGACTAACACTGACCTGAGATATTGTTGTCAAACTTTGTGGTGGAATGAGCATTTGAACCATGTGGTGGAAAGAAGGTGAAGGGCACCTGCAGAGTAGGATATATGTGACGTCGGCATAATACTCAGCTGGGTGGTGCCATGGCATAAAGTACTGGGAAAAGGGTTTTGGGCCCTTAGTTCATAGCATCTGGACTGAATCGATAATGAATAGTACGGACCATGCCATGTCCACTTAATCTCTTCAATTTTTTTTTTTAATTCTTTTTGGTTGGTATTTTTATTTTCAAAAAATTTAATATAAAGTCAAAATAAAATGTAAAAAGTAATATCATAATTGATTGAAAATAAAAAATTATTAATAATAATGATTATTTTAATAAATAAATAATTGAATAAAATAAACTACTCAATCACTTTACTGTTATAGAGGACTTTTTTAAAGTACACAGTTGTGTCTTGTCTTTATATAGCTGGTCGGGAATGTCGCAGTTTTATTTTAAAAGGAGGGCAGCCCGCGAAGGCCAAAGGGTCAGAGCCAGAGCTGAAAGTCTGCCACTTTCTTTCTTAGTATTTCTTCTCAGTCAACTGCTTGCAGCTTCAAACAGAACATCGTCGTTGGTCTCCAAAAACTTTAGCTTTGTAACTCCACGGGCTTTTAGCAAGAAATTTCTTAGATGAATATCTATTTTATAAAAGAAATCATTATCGGCAAAAGTGATTATAACAAAATTGAGTTTAAAAGAGTTAAATTCAATGATAATGATGTAAAGTTGACATAAATATTATAAAAGAATCAAAGCTTCTTTAAATAAGTTTGTTGTATGAAAGATTTAGAACAAGTGCAGAAAGAAAAATTGAGGGTGAAAATCAATGGATCTGAAATCATGATCAATTTTTTTTTTATAAATATAACCTATATTTTGTAAATAAAATTATGAGCACGTATTTTGATTGTCTTTCTGTTAATGATTTGCTTAATTTCAAAAAGAAAATTGTGAAAGGGGAAAAGCAAAAAAATTTAACCGTTTTTTTCTCTTTCGTTTTTTTTTTTCCTCTTCCAATTTTCCTGCAAAATAGACTGAAACTGGACTGAAAATTGTATTTGTGTTTCATTTTTGTTGGTTGAATTAGCAGCAAAGTTTCAATTTAATCCTGGAGAAAAGTGAAAACCTTTGCTTTCACTAGGCAAATGCAAAGGCGGGCTTTTTGTATGAGTGACTGAAATCAAGTGGGTAGTTAAGATTTCAAGAGTAAAAGAAAAGCTGAAATGGAAGCTGGAAAAGGCTTGGTGGAGAAAAAAGGAACAAACGATGTTGTCCTCCATATTTCAAGCCCTGAAGATTCTTTTGTCTTGAATAAAGAAAACAATGAATCTAAAGCCTTTTCTTCAATGACTGAAGCTGGCTCTTACTCTTCTCCTAAGAATCTTGAGTTGAAACAAGTTGAGAATCTTAGAGTCCAAGTCACCACTCCGGTAGCATCACCTTCTCCTTCCAGTGAGATTGCAAAGATAAGTCCTACTCCCAATAAGCCGCCAACAATTTCCACTGATAAGAAGCTTACACCAAGGAAGTCCCTTGGAAGATCAGCGTTTTCTAAGCCGAAATCAAGATTGGTGGAGCCAGCCTAATCCAAATGATGCTAAATTGGTGGAAGAAAAGAGAACCCAGGTGGTGAATTCAAGCTCATCACCTTATAGGAACTCACCAGCTGCAGCTTCACCAAGCAATAAGGCTACTATTCCTAAAGAGAATTTGAGATCTGCTCCCATTACCCCAAAAACACCTTTAATCTCACCCGGCGTAGAGGAAGAAGATGATGAGGAGGTTTACAAGACTGCTTATCTTAAAGTAAGTGAAAAAACAAGTAAAAAGTGGAAATTTTTACTTTTGATTGAGGTTGTAGCATTTATTTGCATTATGGGGCTTCTGATTGCTAGTTTAACTGTGCACAAGCTGGAAAAAAGTAAGATTTGGGGTGTGGAATTGTGGAAATGGTGTGTATTGATATTGGTCATTTTCTGTGGTAGATTGCTTACTGAATGGACGATGAATATTGTTATTTTCTTGATTGAAAAGAACTATCTGCTTAAGAAGAACGTTTTATATTTTGTTTTTCGATTAAAAGGGAGTGTTCGGGTATTTGTCTGGTTGGGTTTGGTCCTTCCAGTATGGTTTGTTGTTTAAACATGGAGTTAAGAGATCGAAGGAAGCCAATCGGATTCTAAATTATATGACTAGAGCTCTTGCTTCCTGTCTCATTGCATCAGCTATATGGATGGTGAAAACGGTTTTTGTTAAGCCATTGGCTGCTTCTTTCCAACGTACAAGATTCTTTGATAAGATTCAAGAATCGATTTTTCATCAGTACATTCTCCGAGCTCTTTCGGGACCTCCAGTGATGGAGGTGGCAGAAAATGTTGGGAGCAGTACAAGCATCGGCCAGTTGAGTTTCAAGAATTTGATAAAGGATAAGGGAGGGGAAAAACAGATGTGATTGATGTAGACAAGCTTAAGAAATTGAAACAAGAGAAAAAATCTGCTTGGACCATGGAAGGATTAATTGATGTGATAAGTGGTTCAGGGCTGTCTACTATTGTGAATTACATTGAAGACGCTGATGAGGAGGAGAATGAGCGAAAGGATAAGGAAATAACTAGTCAGTGGGAAGCAAAGGCTGCTGCTTATAAGATATTCGAGAATGTAGCAAAGCCTGGTAGCAAGTGAGCATATCTTACTTGTTGGAACTCTTCAATTATATATTGTTTGTTCCGTATTGTCTCACCTCTCTCGAATTAATTGACTAGATACATTGAAGAGGAGGATCTCTTGCGCTTCATAAAAAAGGAGCAAGTGGAGGATGTGCTTCCACTGTTTGAAGGAGCTGTAGAAACTGGGAAGATCAAGAGATCAACTTTAAAGAATTGGCTGGCAAGTTCTTTTATGTTTCTTATGCTTTTTCTAAGATACATATATTTTTTGTATCCTCCATTAATTTGGACGATTTGGATTATTGTTTCTTCTAGTATTGGTTCAAACTTCAAACAACTTTGGGTCTCTGTTTGACTGCAAATTTCGACATTTCAGCTTTAAATATGCATATTAGATTGGTGTAATAGTGTTTTGCTTCAAGTATTGGTAAAATGAAAATATTATCTTGAAATTTTTTGCTTATAAATAGTTGTTATAAGTTTTTACATAAAGTTATAGAACATCATTTTAGAAGCTTAAAACCTAAACTAGATGGATTCACTTTAAGCTTATTGAGTGACATGCTGCTTGTTTGCAGATAAATGTTTACCTTGGACGTAAATCTTTGGCGCATTCCTTAAAAGACACCAAGACAGCAATTGAAGAGCTCAACAAGCTTGCCTCAGTGGTTCTGCTTCTTGTGATCATCATTGGATGGCTACTTATGATGGGATTCTTAACAACCCAAATACTTGTCTTCATTTCATCTCAGCTTTTACTTGTGGCATTCATGTTTGGTAACACTGCAAAGACTGTATTTGAAGCCATCATATTTGTATTTGTGATGCACCCATTTGATGTAGGTGATCGCTGTGTCATTGATGGAGTACAGGTGAATGACTAATACAAGAAAACGTCTAGCTCTATTATATCAATATCACCTTGATTGACATATTTTTCCCTTCCAGATGATCGTCGAAGAGATGAATATTCTGACAACAGTATTTTTGAGATATGACAACGAGAAAATATTCTATCCAAACTCAGTTCTAGCTACCAAACCAATCAGCAACTTTTACAGGAGCCCAGAGTTGAGTGATTCTTTGGAGTTTACCGTTGATGTTTCCACGTCAGTCGAGCAAATTGGAGCTTTGAAAGCTAAAATAAAAGTATATGTTGACTCAAAACTTTCTTCACTGCCATGTTAGTAAAATATAATGCTATAACCTATTAAAGCTATTGTTAGATTATCTTTGTTGTCGATTACGAACTCTACTGCATCTATGACTTTGGAACTCTCTCTCAGGTACCCGGAAAGTAAGCCTCAGCATTGGCGGTCTGGACACAGTGTACAAGTTAAGGACATTGAAAATGTGAACAAGATGAAAATGGTTCTATATGTTACTCACACCATAAACTTTCAGAACTATGGGGATAAGAGCAGCCGGAGATCCGAACTAGTCTTAGTACTGAAGAGTATTTTTGAAGCTCTAGACATTAAATATAATCTACTGGCTCAAGAAGTTCAGGTCACCTATGTTGGGTCAGCAGCATCAGCAATTCATCAACCTACTCGATGATGGTCTCGTTTCTACTTTACTAAAATTCCCTTTCTCTGCTGCAAGCATGATTTGATTAAATCATGCCACGCATGGAAAAAGGCCAGTCGAGTGAATAGAGGAAAAATGTTTTTGTTTGATGTGATTCTTCTAGCTGTTTACAACATGCTTGTATATTTTCTTTTTGGGGTTCATTTTTCAAGTTGAGAAATTTTGTTTTTGTATTATTTTTATCAATTATTTCAAGTTTTGGTTGGGTTCAATTTCTTTTTTTAATAAAATAGAATTGCATCTTAAGAATAAAAAAAGTAATGCAGATGTTCAAATTGAATTTTAAAGTTATTAGATGTTATTTTTTAATATAATTGTATAAACCAACGAAATTAAACTCTTAGTTCTTTAAGCTAAGGTTTAAATTCTTGGCTGTAAGGTTGGTTGGGTTCAATTTCCTATTCGTCTTCTGATTCTAAATTTCTGATGCTGTAGACTCACTATTGGCCCAATAAAGAAGCATCTGAAAAACTGACCAACAGCCCATCTATTAGGTCCAACATCATCTCAAATAGCTAAGAACCACACAAGTGAATGAGAAATCAGTGTCCTTGGGGTCAGTGGGAGGCCAACCATAAAAACTCTCCCGCAATTTTCAAACTTGATGCGGATTGGACCAATAAGATAACCTTATCCATCAAATCCAACTTGGGAAGCTGCCACGTAGGACAGAGATAGAGATGACATGGCCACCTGATATCTCAAATTTCCACCTCTCATTATTCCCCTCCTTCCACTCCCCTGCTCACAAAAACACACATTGCAACGCCCCCATCTTTATATCATAGTAAAAACTAAGGAGAAGGTGTTGGTTTTTAGACTCAGGGTGAAGAGACAAGAAAACCAATGGCTTCCACTTCAACTGTTTCAATGGCTCTGCCATTAACTCATGCTAGCCAAAAGAGGGTGCCAAGCTCTGAGGCTTTCTTTAAGCCACTTCCAGTCAAGCCATCAAGGGCGGTGGCCATGACAAGACCCACTGGAAGGCTTGAAATCAAGGCTTCTTCTTCACTTAAGGAGAAGGCAATCACTGGGTTGACAGCTGCTGCACTGACAACATCCATGATGCTCCCTGAGGTTGCTCAAGCTGCTGATGGATTTACCCCATCTCTCAAGAACTTCTTGCTTAGCATTGTGGCTGGTGGTGTTGTGCTTACTGTCCTTGCTGGAGCAGTAATTGGTGTGGCCAATTTCGACCCTGTCAAGCGGAGTTGAGCTGCTATTTATATTTTTCAAGAAAGAAAAAAAAAATCTCTATGTATCTGTTTGATGTTTCCAGCAATGAACATCTTCTGTGTGCGTAATTTGTGGATGCCATAGCTGTAATTTGGCTGAGACCCTGTGAATTCACAAATTCTTTTTCTTTTAACGCAACCGCGGAGCAAATTAGACTGCCAATTGAAAACACAATGAGACGATATGAAAACAATATAAAAAAATACAAAAGGGGATCATCATATACATATAGACATATATATATAAAAGTTTAACAAAAATATAATATATATATATATATTTTTTAGATGAATTGCAAATACATCCTAACTACAAGCCCATATCTACTCTAATCTCGCTAGAAAGAAAAATACTCGCAAGAGAATATTATTTCCGGTTGTCCCCTTGAGAAATAGGACAAATCTCCTGATGCATTGCTCTGGCACAAAGCCTTGTTGATCTAGTAAAGGAGTAATAATCAACCTCCACGTTGGCATAGCAAATCCATGCAATTGTTGCTGGCCATACCATTTTCTTATTATTAGGCATTGATAAACTGTAAATGCCAAATTACCTGCGCCCTGCCCCTGCCCCTGCAGCCAAATCATAGAAAGAAACTGAAACTTTGTGCTGCAATTTCTAGAAACTGTAAATACCATACTGTTAGCTCAAGTCACTTGAGCTTTAATTCTGAAACAGTTGACATGAACTAAAAAATTATGCCTCAAGATCAAGAATATGCAGAATTACAGCCACTATACAATCTTCAAAGGTCTCTACATATATTTGATCGATTGACATTCAAAATTCAAATCCCTAAAAGTGATAATATAACCGGTAATGCCAAAGAAATGTTAATCAACTACATAGAACCAAAGCTACAGCTCCTAAAATCATTACTTAGGTACAGAATTGGTTTTTAATTGGCAAATTCTTTGTAATCAAATCGAGAAGGTATCTGCTTTCTGCAGAGTAGTTTACCTTATCAACCTTCACGATAGTGATTTTAACCCTCTATTCATCACCATTGAATTCCTCTTTGATTTTAAGCCTAAACAGTTATTGGTGAAAGAGTCTGCAGTGAATAATTTCACAAATCAGGTATCATCCTGCATTTCATATTTCAACAAATACATTTCCTTTGCCAAGCATCCCAAGATCTCTTCCCCAGATTTCTGGAAAGCTGCTACCCATGTCAGTCCTGTATGGTCATGAATCTGAACCTGGAGAAGATATCTGTAATCACATTCCTCAAATTCTTTGTTGCAACAGTCACAAAGCCATCTTTTATTACCTGACTGTGTCACTTTCTTATTGCACTGTCTATTGCATTGTCCATCTCCAATCGTCAATGAGCAAGCTGTGTAACAGAAATTATCTGTTTTAATGAAAACTACAGTCGCCCTTGCTGTGACCCAATCTGGCTTATCAGATCTTCCAGGACCATCATCCTTGATCTGAGACAGTTTTACATATCTCATTTTTGGATCCTCCAGGCATATTTTCTTTGGAAATAGAGATAAGAGCAGTATTCCTCCCCCCTCTTTCAAACCAGTCTATCAGGCCCTGAGAATGTGGACAATCTGGATTTATAAAGAGCTGCATGAAAGAAATAGTGCCAATGGATTTCCCATTGAAGTCATTGACCCTTCCAGCTTTAACAGCCAAAACTGGGAAAAACCCAGAATCAACCATCTCCTGCAGCTTTTGACCTTCCTTGTTGCAGAAATCGCCCCAAAGGGTTAGCTCAACACTCTTTCCAGATGCATCCTTCAAATTCAGAATTCTTCTCTGAGTTTCCATGCCATTCTTCCTCAAAATAGGAACTGAAGGGTTAACAGTTACCATAATATCAATAACATCAAGTATAGAACTGTTTTCAGCACTCTCAATTTCACTGATAGGTCTGAAGTAGAACTGTCGTCTTGGAATAGAGCCATCTTCATTAGGGCAAAGCTCTACGGTTGAATTTGATTCCAAGAATATCTCCCACTCGTTTTTCAAATGGTTGAAATTCTTTTGCACAGGTTTCAGGTTACCCTTTGAAATCAAGAGAACTTTACCAATTTCAATAATATCATAGAAGCGGTCAACAACAGCATTGAAGCAGGTCACGTGCATTTTCCCTCCATCAGAGTCAAGGATGTCAAGGGAGAAGACCTTCCCATCTCCCTTGGCATTATTGTAGTGACGAACATCCCCTTTTAGTAGTCACTCAAGCCTTGATAGCCCCACGTCCAGGATAAGGATTCAGAGCAGCAATAGGCATAATCCATGCGGCTGCCTCATTCTTCATTATTGAGCCCTGAATTTTGTAATTTGGAGGTGGCTGGAACGCAGGTTGAATAGTGGACCAGAAACTCTGGACATTATTAGCAGGAACTTGACCGCTATACCTATTATTGCTCGACCTCACAGAAGGCTCCAAATTGTTATTAGGCACTGACTTGTTAGTTGCTGAATCAGAATCCGTAAGAACTTTTGGACTCCCAATTATTTCGTACTCTGGAATTATAGTCTCCATATTCAGCACAACAATAATCCCACAAAGAGAGAACAACAAAAAAAAAATTATCCAAGAGTTCTTCAATGAGCATTTTACCAACTCTCAATCAAAAGAACCGAACTTAAGAGCAACAGAATTTCCGCTGACTCGTAGTGACTCTAGGGCATGAGAGGTAATCATTGTCCAAAACATATAAAGTTAACCTAATTTAATGAAAGCTATGTAACACATTTGATTTCAAATTATACACTTGCAGAATGAAAAATATGATTTAATTTCCTCCTTACTTTAACCAATATTTTGAATTTGAATAATCTTCTTCATAATGGTCGTAGCGTTACCTTTTAATTTAGTTATTCGGAGGGGATAGGATTATCAATAATTCATCTACTTAATAGTTCCTTCAACTTTGTGCTCGAGGAACCAATCAAATTAAACCATTTATAAATAAGAATTTGAATTTCTGTAATCTTAAACCAAAAAATCCAAGGCGAACTCTGTTTTGATATTGAAATGAAAAGGTCTCAATTTAAAAAAAAAAAAAAATCAGAGTTTAACCTCAAATTTGTTTCTGAAATTCTCTCGTACTGATTTTTCAAACTAGATCTTATATCAACATCCAAAGTAATCGGCTACCTCATTAATTTGATATCTAATCAACGATTAGAGAGATAAGAAACTTGCACCTGCGATTCTGAACAGTGCTGCAAATGTAATCGCTCAACTGGATGATAGACCCTTTCTTGACTCGTCCGGTCCTGACTTGTTCATTGAGCTGAGTGGCAAGCATCGCGTGTTTAGTGGATTCGGAATAGGATAATAGAAACCGGTGTCTCTCCTGAGAGTTGCCATTCAACTTAATATCCACCACCTGAACCAACGGCTTGGAGTTAACATCGCCACCGTTGATCGTGGCAATCGCGTTGCGCGTGAGATTGACCGGCATCTTCGTCACTAAAGCTAGATCTCAGGAGTAAAAAGCCCTAACCACACCAAAAAGGAAATAACACTAGCAGCAAAACTAAAAGCCTACAGAATTTGAAGGAATTTTGAATGTTTATACAGATTAACGGTAATTAATTGGAGGGAGAGAAGGAGCGTGTTATGCGATAGAGAATTTTTCTTTTCCATTTTTTCTGGAGGGTAATGGCGGGATAAAAAAGATAACCGACTTGAGAGTCGATAGATGAGGATCTTTGAAACGAGAAACCGGAACCAAAATTTTCATTTTAGGACAAATTGACAACTATAACCCCGCATTGCTGGCGCCTCAAAAAAGGTTTGAACCCTAAACGCAGCGTTGCAGGTTTTACTTGGTATATTGTTTAAAGCCAGAAATAAAAAATTTTAAAAAAAAAAAAAAACAATGGCCCAAAAGATTTACGTCCGTTTCTTGATCTGATCTCTTTTTATTGGCAAATCAGGAAGAGTTTCAAACAAAAGTGACATTCTTTGAAGATATAAGTAGCTCCACAACATAGAAAAATATTACACCAAATCACTAGAAGAAAATATTATAAGTTTTAAAAATAAAAATTCATTCAAAAAAATAACTAATAACTTTAGTATAACAAATTTTAAGAAACATATAAAAAAAAAAGAACTAAAGCAGAGGTCTTCGGGGCCAATTAGATGACTATCAGTAAAGTAATGGTCGAACTTTAAGCCACCAACGGCATCTCAATATCAGTTGGCTCAGCAGCAACAATCTTGGTACCTTCATCCTCTTTGGGAGGGTGGATTGTGACAAGATCAGGTAATGGAGTTGTAGGGCCCTGCTTACCCTTGGGATCCCAATCAAGCATAATCTTGACCTTAATACCAAGTACCCCCTGTGTTTAACATCCAATAAATTTGTCAGAAATGACAATCAAAAGGGACATGGTAGATTGAATAAAATGGATAGCAAACCTGTCTCAAAAGAACGTGTCTGACAGCAGAGTCAATATATTCATTGACTGGATGGCCGGAAGATATCATATATCCATCCTTGAATTTCATAGATTTAGCACGCTGTGCCCTTAGCTTTCCACTAACAATGACCTATTGCACAAGGAAGTACAAATTATAAGTTTAAAAGAAATCATATATCCATTGTTGAATTTCATAGATTTAGCACACTATTACCTTAGCTTTGAACTAACAATAACCTATTGCACAAGGAAGTACAAATTATAAGTTGAAAAGAAATCATATGAACTCCCAAATCAACTTAATATACAAACCTCACATCCCTTGGCACCACTCTCCATGATGAATCTCAGCACACCATAGCAGGCCCTGTAAGAAACATCCTAACCATCAGCTTGAATGCAAAAAAGAAAAATCAACAATCTATACCATTTATAACATCAACAAGTTCACAAATTCAAATTAGAATCTAATGAAGATATTTTCTCATGAGAATTGTTTGACTTTAATTACATGCTAAAATTAGGAAAATTTTCAAGTGTTTGGTTGGGCATGGGCACGTGCCTGAGCCTGAGTTGGGGGGTAACAAGGAGTGAGGACAATACATAAGTTCATGATTTGTATCAGGCTTGAACATATAAATTAATGGTACGTTTGAACCATACATAATAAGGGTGTGTTTGAACACTAATTATAGAAAAGGAGAACAAAATTCTTATACTCATGCTGTGTTTGAACCATACATAATAATGGCCTTTTCTGTTTGTCTGGCACTAGCGCTTGCTTGTGGAAAGGACATGAGGGACAAGTGGAAATCACTCTTATATCACTTATTTAATGGTGTGTTTGAACACTAATTATAAAAAAGAACAAAATTTTTATGCTCATGGGATGTCTGAACCGTACATAATAATGGCCTTTTCTGTTTGTCTGGCACTAGCGTTTGCTTGTGGAGAGGACATGAGGGACAAGTGGAAATAACTCTTATATCACTCATTTAGGTAACAATGAGGCCACACTCAAGCAACTTGGTAAAAGTCTTATTTAACGTATCAACCAAGTCTGACTTCCAAAATCTCTTTCACCGATTTATCAATGCAGTTATATTTAATTTTCAATATGATGGCTAAGGGTTACCCCTTGATTCTTCAAGAACACATACACAGAGAGATCAAATAGTTGCAAAAAAAATGAACAATGAAATTGAAAACTATGGAAATATATCCTCCCAGATGTTACTATAGGAAAACCAGTGAATTTCGAACAGGATGACAGAATAGAGGATTGAATGAATCTTGTCATCTTCCGACACAAAATCGATATAGTAATAAACTATTTGCTTTATAGTTCACTAAAATATGGTCAAAATTTTAAAGAAACAGCTGCCTAAATCAAAGAATGAATGAATTTAAACATTCATTTTGGAAAAACATATGCACTCCGAGGTCATTCAACGTCAAAAAATACATTACATAGGCATAAAAAATTAATTACACATGGCAATAAGAAATTTTTTACATTGTTCCCTCCCCCAAGGTTACTGCACAAAAACTAAATGCATTTCAGCAGGATAATGGAGCAGAGGAAATATATTATCTAATTACTTTTGTCACCTTCCGACACAAAAATTGGTAGTGAAGTACCAATCTGCTTTGTAGATGACGTTATATAAAAAACTGATAACAAAACCGAATTGTTTAGATTCAATTCATATATTACACATAAAAGCTCCACGTTGACATTGAACAATAAATTTAGTATTAACAGGTTTTGAATGTGTAAAAAAAAATCAATTTTGAGTACGTACCTCCTGACGGCAAGACCTCCAAGGAGCTTGTAGCGAAGAGACTCGGCCTGAGCAATAGCGCAAAGGCCTCTGTTGTTGACCTTCTCAGCGTAAAGCTCGACGCTGTTTTCTGGGAACTTGAATCGCTTCTGAACCACTGAGGTCAGCTCCCTAATCCTCCTCCCTTTCTCACCTATAATCCCCAATTAACACAAACTAAAACCGAGAATTAGAAAGAAGTAACCCCAGTCCAGTAAACAAGGTTTTTATGAAAATACCGAGAACGTTTTGGGTGCGGGTAGCTCTGATGATAATCTCGGTGCGCATGGGAGTAACTCTGACTTCGACTCCAGAGTATCCATCCTCAGCGAGCTCCCTGGTCAAGACCTCGTTGAGTTCCGCGAAGAAGACTCCGTCAGCGACGAACTGAAAGTAATGGCGAAGAAACAACAACCCAGTTGGAGTAATGACGAAACAAATGGAAGAAATGAGAAAGAAAGATGGTAGACAATACCTTTCGCTTTTTGCTGATTTGAGTAGCTGCCATGTTTTTTTATGTTTGAGTGGAGGGGAAGGAAGGAAATAGGCAGAGATATGAGATCTGATGACGGCTCTGCAAACCCAAGCGTCTAACAAATATGTATTGATTCCTTATTCTAGGGTTTCTAGGGAAAATGTATGAGTGCAAGTGGCTTCCTTTTAGCGTTGGGTTTTGGGCTAAAATGATCGGAAAAGATAAGAAAAGGGCCCATAGTAGGGTACAATTTAGGCCTGATATGCCAGAATTCAATCCATCCTTTTAAAAACCTAGCAGCCCATCAATTCCAACCAGAATATACAAAGAAAGTTTTCAAAAAATAAATAAATAAATAAAATTATTATAATGAATAATTCTTAAATTATGTAGTAAAACATTAATATAACATTTGTTTTAAAATTTTTAACATGATATTTGAATTTTAAATCTATCAAAAAATATAATATATGAAGGATTATTTACTCGCCATATGTTATCATTTACAATAAGTTAAATTAAAGATAAGTATCATATTAATTAATAGATTTATAATTCAAATATCATATTAAAAATTTTTTAAATTTAGATATCATGTTAAATATTTTATTATAATTTAAGACTCATTTATGATATTAACTAAAAAAAAAATACTAATTCCATAATGTCAAAAATTTTCATTAAAGTTTCATTAATTGTTGATTTTATTTCATTTATCCTAGTTTTTAGGCATAGAATCATAAACCATAAATCAGTGATATCTCTCTATCAAATCATTAGGAATACATCCATTCATCCCTTCACTTTCCCTCAACCACTGCATTTCTCTGTAAGAAACTGTATGTTTTCTTTTGATATATTTACCGCCTCTGATACATTGGAATTCAATTCTCCCTAAATGATTCAATGAGCAGCGGAACGGTGGATGGGCTTTGGACGAATATTTCAGCAAAGTTAGATGATCGTCCTTGGTGACCAAGCCCCGGAATATGGTCCATTCACCCATTAATGGGCCTACATCTTCGCTCGCAGTTCTTGGTAGCCACTAGCCACTCACGCTATTGCCTGGCTATTGGCCACGCCTACACATTCAAGAATTTTATGCAATATTTTATTTTTGTTTACTATTTTTTAAATTTAATTTTTTAAAAAATTTCCAATTAATCAATTTCTGTGCATTGCATTAAAATATGACGGAATGGATTATAAACGTCACATCCACAATATGAACGTTCACATGGTTAAAAAAAAAAAGGTAAATTTGTTTTAGTTTTTATTGAAATTCATGTCATGCGGTCCACATAATATTGATGTATTTCATTTAATTTTTATTAATAATTGACTGAATGAATAAATTTACAATATTTTTAGAAGATTGTAAATGACAAAATGAATTTTAATAGATGAAAATGAAGTATTGCTTAAAAATTATGAATAATTGGTGCATTTTACTCCTGTATTTAATGAAACATAATCCCAATCTCTCTTCATGGTAAAAAAAATTAGCAATATCAATCTCTTCGTAATCCCAATCCTATCCTTTTCAAATACAAAATCATGAAGAAAAAAGAAAGTCTTTCGTTAGAGTTACCCACTCAAAGTTTGAGATTTTTCCTACATTATAATTAATTAAAATCTTTATTTTTTAAATACCATTCATTGTGTAGTTCATAGCCATAACTTGTCATGTGACAATTTCATAAAATTTATTTCTTTTTTACATTTCTTTTATTTCTCACTTCTTTCCTATTATCTTCATTCTCGTTTTTTTTCATTTTTGATCTGTCAACATCCAATGGCATCGTCCACCCAATTGAATTGTTTTAATTAGGTTTTTTTCTTAATTGAGATTTTTAGCACTTGCTTAAAAACTTTTCAGCTATGGTGATTAATAAGTCAAATGCACTTATTTACTCGTAGGCTGTTATTTCAGTAGTATTGGAATCCATTCCAAAGCTGAAGTTCTCATATTCCATTCACTAATTTGGTTCTGTTCAACTCTCTTTTTAAATGGAATCCTTATCCTGGATGAGTTGAATCCATAATCCAACTTTGTACAACAAACACCATGAAGAACAAATCATATGCACTTCGCCAGCAGTTACATCCATTTTCTTTGAGATTGCCCAATCAAAGTTGCTAACAAAAGGTTCCTTCAAAAGAAATGTTCAAAAAAGACCCTAATTTCTGCATCTTTTCAGAAGACTAAATATGGGCATTTGCAGAAAACGCTATTTATTAATGTTACCAGTTATCGCATGGTAATAGCAATTATAAATAAATGTAATTAGGCCATAATTAATCTTTTTCAAAAGGGAAACGTTGGTAAGTGAAGTCCAACTAATGATGTTGATAAAACCCCTTTCAAGATCCTTGTTTGTTTCTAGGACAAGAGTGGGAAACTCGGCTGCCTTTTCCATCCTATTTGCTGGAAATGTAAAGGACAAATAAAGGGAAAAAGTAGATTCCAAGTCTCGCATGTGTAATGTTATAGCATGTTTACTTTTTCTTGGCTTTGGTTCTAGTTCTAGACCCTAACCATGATTATTTAATTTTTAACACTTTGACTAATTACCATAAACAATGCCAAATTATTAGTATTACTAAAATTATACTTATTATGTGACGATGTTTATGGGCCAAATTGAGTTAAGGTCATATTTATATTTTATATTAATAATTTATATATTTGTTCAAATTTGATTTAGTGTAACATTTTGAACTTTTAAATTTTTTTAAATTCGACTCAAATTAAAAAAATAAAAACTCAAACTCATTTATTAAATTTAATTTATATAATAAAAAATTTAAAAAATGTGATCAAATTAAGTTTAATATAATTATTTTTAATTCATATATATATTATATATAAAAAAATATAGATCTGGGGCGAGTCGAGCCGAACTCAAGCTCTAAATTTTTATTCAATATCTGAATTAAAATTTAAACGAATTTAAAAATTATGTCTAGACTTATTTAATAATTTTTAATTTTTTTTATGAAAATTTTCTTAAAATTTGAACGGATACTTTGATCCTTAAACAAATCTATCACTACTTTAGAATGGATTGTTCTTGGTTCAATTATTTTATTTAGGTAAAAAAAATTATCATATGAAAATTAATTGAACAATTCAATTAATGAAACTTTAATTTTAACGAAAATTTATTTCTTTTGGGATAGCATCAATGACATGTATACGTATGATTGTATCTTTTTCCCAAAATAAATATGACTGTATTCATTATCGATATTTATTTTGAGAAACTATTTATTTAAAAATGAAAAAATTGAAAATTACTTTTTTCAGCCAATAAATATTCGGTAAATTTCATCAAATTGGAAGGCAAATTTCAAATTGACACATGTCAATTAAAGTTTTGTCAAAGCTTAATATTATCTTAGTGATTTTTTTAAGAATGTATTTTGACGTCATTTTGTAATACTACCTAATTTGTTTGATACAGTGGAATTCAAAGGGATTTCTTCTACTGGCTTTGGCGGCCGGCAAGCGTTAGATAGGATATTGATTCGATGTGATCAAGATTTAATTTATTATATGTCTTACTATTTAATAGTATATATATTTTTATGTATTAAATTTTAGATTTTAATTAAAAGATAGTAAATCTTTAACTTATGCCACGATGTCATATTCAAGAACTTATGTCCATTGTCATATGTGATGTCTATCAGAAAAATGTTTGAACATTTGTTAATGTTTTAAGATAGTATTCAGACTATATTCGATTTAGTGATAGATATCTATAGTTTCTTAATTTAGAAAGCTTAGTATGAATTTTCTTTATTTGAATAAAAAATACTGTTATTGCTTTATATATTTACCTAAGGTGACTAAAGTAGATAATATAACACATGAAAAAGAGCAAATGTGGTGGTTGCATCTTTTTACCTAATTTAGTGGTTTTTTTTTTTTTGTTTTATAAAAGATACGTAAATTGGGAATAGTTTATGAGATTAAAATAGATATAATAATTTAAAATACGATATAGTAATTTAATATAAAAAATACATGAATTTAAAATGGATTAAAATTTTAATAAAAATCATATATTGATTTAATAAAAACAAAAAAAAAATATTTTATATATTTCATGTCGACATGAATTATGACATATAATTTTTATATAAAATATAATATAAATATTAAATCTTTTTAATATTTTATACGACACAAATAGTCAAATTATTAGTATTTTATACTATATAAATTATTAAATCTAATTATTGTTATAAAATTTATTGCTATAAAATTTTAAATTTTATACCTATTTAATGCTACTTCTTAAAGATATATGTACAAACCAATTACATTAATCATAAGATTCTTTGGTAGTCAAATTTTACTTCTACAAAAGAATTAGTTCTTCAAAATGTTCTCTTTCTAACTTAATTATCAATAAGAAACAGAAAAAAAAAAAAAAAAAAGAAGAATCTATGAGGGGTGGCATTTTTAGATTATATGCAAAAATTATTTGCTTTTCATTTTCAACAGTGAACCCTCCACAAATGTCTCTTATTATTGACGATAATAACAATCTTACTTGATATTGTACTTTTATGTCACCATTGAGAAAGATGTTTTACCAATATATGTTTGCCATAATTAATTTTCATAATCAAATATATGTTTGCCATAATTAATTTTCATAATCAAACGTATGCTCTTTAGGATAGATTTTTTTTTTTTTTTATGTTGGTGATCATACATTTGTTGTGAATTTGGATCCAGATTTTTCACTTTTTTACACAAAATAATAATAATAATAATAATAGAAGATAATAAGAGAAACAATAATAATAGATCAAAGTGACATGAATGCGTGTGTTTGGAGAATGGACCAAATGGTAGATGAAGTAATTCCCTCACCACCAATTTGAAAAATCTAAACCAGAAAGAAACAAGCCATTTCCAGCGACCAATCGTGTGGACCTTTTTTTTCTCTCCAGAGATCAGGAAATTAGGCTGCCATGTAATGTGGGTCCATCAACAAAGACACCTGCTCAATCAGAGAAAGAGGAGCTGCTTGTGGGGAATCATGAACTTGAAGGAAGTCATAAAAGCCATTTATTACATGAAGAGAATAAAAGGGAAAAAGAAAAAAAATGGGGGAAGAAAAGTTAAACAGAAAAAGAACCCAAGTAGAGGAGAAGGGATAAGCATGGAGAAGTTCAGTTTCATCCCAAAACAAGAACCTTGGGCCCCTTGTCATGTTGTTGCGAGTCACTGTTTACACATATCTGTCTGCCTCTATCTACTCTGGTGCCTTGTTTTAAACTACCCCTCTATAGAATACTTTAATTTCCCTTACCCAATACCATCCAAGAGATTGCCATTTTTGCAACAATTAGAAAAAAATAGTCAAAAGCTCATCATCTCTTATCCGGGATTCTGTTCCTGTGGTGGTGTGTGATTGGGAACCAAAAAGATTATCTAAAGCTGCTTTTCCTTCAATCTTTTTTCAGAGCATCTTCACAGATATGTACGCACCTGCTTTCAGTTTTTCCACAGGCATATTAAAAAAAAGCAATGTGAGCAGTGATTTCTCGGCTAAGGGAAGAAGGGGAGAGGACTGAAAACAGTATCTTCAGATCTCTTCAGTTTTGCTTCTCAGCTAAGGTCTAGTCCTAGAAGAAATATTATGCTTTTGATTGAGGCTGGAAAGGGAATAAAGGGTATAATGGAGAGTTTCCATCCAAAAGTAGATAAGGAAACTTCATGGTAAAGAATCTGAGAGAAATTATTGGTAAAGACCCATTATAGATATCAGCCTTTTTGACAAACAGAAAAAAGTTTGAATAAACTAAAAGCTCTTAGGCCTTTTTTTTCCTTTATCAGTAGAAATTTAACAAGTCCTAATTGCATGACAGAAAATTATCAGTTCCTTGTAAAAACAACTAAAAATTGACATTTATAACATTGAAAAGTGAAAAAGACAAAGAGAAGGTCTAATTTTAAAAGCAGTAACCTTTATTACCCATGACCAAGAAAACAGCAAAACCAGAAATGAACACCACCACACGCTTCATTTCAATTAGATCCAGGGTTACACAGAGTTAAATGCAATAGAAGAAATTTTAGACTGATTATTTTTTCTAACAAATGTGGGCAGTAAGTTTGGAAAGTAAAGACGGTTCATCACTGATACAAGCGGAGTTACAGAAACTAACTATTTTCTACTACCTCATCAACAAAGCTGTGAAGGTTCTTCATTTGCCACCATGCAAAAGAATTACTAAATAAAAAAAGTAAACCCCAAATTTTCTCTCTAAATAAATCAAGCAGGCCTGTTTCTTTTGTGACCAGCTTTACCATCTAATCTCATAGCACCGCTTGAATCCCCCTCAGACGAGGCATCCATGGATTTGGTGAAGGAACTTGAAAGATCGGCATAGACGTCGACCACTCTTCTTATATTGTTGTTGAGCTCCCTAATTAGACCAACATTTCTGCTCAAGTTGTCAGGGATCTTGGACTCATGATTCTGGTTTATCTCATTGATGAGCAGCCTATTCTGGTCCAAGATATTCTGAACCTGAACGAAGCTCTTCTGAAATGTCTGCACGACCTTGCTATCTATATGAGTACCATTGCCAAGCCCTGAAAATGTGTCATCCTCCATTTTTTCGCCTACTTTCTTTGTTGGAGTTCTATCAAATCAAAACCTGTCCTGAACCAAAAAATACAAAAAGAAAAGAAGAATATGCGAGGGAACAAAATATGAGACAAAAGTTGTTAAATACACTACTAATTTATTAATTTTTTAATAAATAACCATAATCATAGCTGAACTCTTAACATATAAAGCAAAATCCCAGACAAAACATGAAGAAGGCGTTGGAATTGTTCAAGGCATTTCGGGCATAAGAGACAAAGGCCTGCAGTAGAAATCATGACCTCCATGGGCTCTACTTTTCACAGAAGGAACAGTTAACAAACATGAAATTAATATCAGTACTTAATATTATTGTTGCTACTACTATTATTTATGATGAGATGTGAAAAAGCATATCCCATTTCCATAAAAGGGAACCCTTTTTTAATGTACTCAGAAAATACCCACCTAAAGCACAGAGTTTCAAAGAAGAATCTCAAAGACCAAAAAAGAAAAAAAAAAAAAAGACTAGTCAATGATGCAGAGAAGATTAGTCTCATGAGAGAGTACTATCCTGCTGCAGCTAGACAACATTATTAATCTGTTTACAACAAAAATGAAAATTAGAAATATCAATAAAAAACAAAAACATAGCTTTTATTTATAAAATTAAATTAAATTAAGAAAAGAAAGCAAGAACTTTGAATTGGGAATTCAAAAAAAAAAAACTTTAAGTTAGAAAAGAATAAACACGCATAACCCATTTGAGAAAAGAAGATCTTTTCTAACACAACTTTCATAAACTCTCCAAAATTCTCAGATTGAAAAAAAAAAAACAAGACAGCGTTAAAAGAAAAACAAGAAGCTGATAAGATCGAAGTCTTGTACGAAAGGAAAACCCATCAGCTGAAAAAAAAAAACTCGTTAATTTAATTACACAAGATGGTAACAAAGACAGACAAAGAGATATTCTTACATGTTTGTTTTATTCTTTCCTCTAGATAGACATAAATAATAAATATATATTATTACATAATGTTTCTTTATATACATACCTTGAAAATCTGGAGCATTATATTCTGGGAAGGAGACACAGATTCAAAGAAGGAAGACGAGAGGGATTCCCGAGGAACAGAGGGAAAGATCGCCGTTAAATCGAATCTCAGGAACCGAAAAAACAAAGTTTTCTGAATTATAAGAGAGAGTTTTTAGAGAGAAAGAGAGAATACGTAGATTTGACAGTCAAGCTCGGACCCCTTTGTGTCTAAATATTTTAGTTCCATATATTCTCTAAATATATATCCAACTGTTTTTTTTTTTTTTTTGGATTCAGTGGGGGATGGGATTGCTTTCTGTGTATTTTGCTCAGATCCATTATTCACCACGTGGCACTTGAACAATGATGGAAATTACCATCAATGATGAAGGGTCCCACAATCCAAGATATCTTAAACAACTTTACAACATTCACGTTTGTTTTTGGTTGATGGAGATCTTTATATTATGAATTACTATTACAATATAGTATATAATAGAGTTTGATGCTGATTATTTTTGAATGATTATTACTATTTGTAAAGGAATATTTCGAATGTCATTCTCACCCTTTTATTTATCTATTATTTTATATATAATAAAAAATCAAAAATGATTTTTATAAAAAACATCACAATAATACGAGTCTCATATAAAAAAAAAAAAATGGTAAATTAAGGATTTAGCAATGCCTAATTTTTACGTATACCCGTATAGTCGAGTTTTGATCTCATGGATTCGTATCTTAAATCCATGGGGTCAAAACTCCATTTTTCATATAATTATTACAACTTCGATAACCATTTGAAAAAAAAAAATTGTTTTTTTGTAATTACTATTTAAGTGAATTTTGTATTTAATTTTGTGATTTCATTGTACAACAGAAAAAAAGTTTAGTAATTATCTTCCTCCCATTTTTACAAACTCCACTTTTTTTTTTTTATCGAACCCATTTTTTATTAAATAAAAATAAAAGAAAATATTTTCTTTATTATTTCAATTGCATCATTTTATTTCCAAATTCAAATTTGAGATTTTTGAGTCAAAATTTCAAGTTTTAATTACTAAAATGTCTTCTTATGAACATTTCTGCCAACTATCTTAAAATGTTTGACATTAAATATAAGATATTGGTTTTTTTTTTTTTCTTTAATGAATAGAACTAACATCAAATTGTAAGAATTCTGAAAAAAAAAATTATAAGAAACAATGAGTATTTAAATGAGACTTGGTGTTTGAATGGTATGTCTCGATCCTCTTTTATGGTTTTATGACATGATTGTGTTGGTTAATGTTAGACTTAGGATAATGCAATGAATATAGGTTTGTCAGAATGTAGTAATTTATAAGCGTTTATTTATTTATTTTTATTTGTAAGAGGGCATAACTTACAAGGATAAGGAGAAGGTTTAAGTCGGTCAAAATATCATGTCCTCCTTAACACCTCCTTGACCATTAAACTAAGAAGCCAAAGACTTGGTTTAACTTTTGAAGCTTAGAAATTGACACATTCTTTAATAATAATTAGTAAGTCATTAATTTTTCATAATATAATTAGGGTATTCTCAAATTTTACATGAATTTTATTCTCTTTTTGGACCGAATTTAATAAATAAAATAAATAATAATAATTTTGACCAAAATATAAACTAACAAATAAGAAGTATATAAAATGAAATTGGAATTCTTCTTCACGGAAACTATTAAAAACAAAGTCATGAACCGTTAGTTTGTACTTGTCAAAGAATATTTATTTTTTCCAAACATTCAATAGAGGATGGCCTGAAAAGATTGACATTAATAGAGCTATTAGGTAAAGGATGAAAATGATTTTGCAATCACTAATTTTTTTAACAATAAATAACGTCAACACATTTAAACTGAAATTTCGATGTTGTAAATTAGCTATCACCCATTGGTCCAAACAAAAGCTATAACCCCATATTTTTTTATTATTATTTTATTTTGAAATAATAAAATATCAAACAAAAAAGAACATAATTAATTAATGAAGTAATTTTCAAGATGGTGCGTATTTGACAATGAAGAAGAAAAGGTAAAGAGGGGTGGCGTGGCATGAGGGCTGAGGGCTGCCCCAACTCCGACTACGAATCTTCGTTTTGGCTGAGACTGGGAAGTTACATGCAATTTAAAATCAATACCCAACAATGAAATCTTAAGAGCAACTGTTCTGATCAAATCAAAGACAGACGCGTGTCAGAGAGCCTCGGGAGATCTAGAGGTTCGGGTCCGAGGCTACCCAGATTCCCGAATCAAAGCCTTAAAATGATTTTTTTTTTCTGCTGGTGGTAGGACCAGGGTAAGGGATGGGTCCCACAGCTCCATCACGCCATAATACTACAATACTAAAATGTTTGTCTTTGTAAAAATAAAAATAGCGACACGCAATCCAACGCTGATATTTTTGCGCCTCAATCAGTCCCTGAGTGATGGTACATTATTACCTATACGGACGCACCCCTCCGCCCCTCTCCTCTTCCTCATCATTGTCCTTGGTTGCCTTTGCCTTAGTAGCTTTTCGCTCATTTATTTAATCTTTAAAGAGATAAATAATAAATTATTATTCTTTATTTAAATAAAATGTATTATTTATTATTGATTTATATTTTATACAAATAAATATACAATGTTAAATATTAAACTTGAATCTTCAATTCTATTCAAATAAATGGCATATACATTTAATATTGGAGTATAAATATATTATATTTATATTATTTATTTATAAAATATTTGATTGAGTTTGATGTTATAAAAAATAACTTTAAAATACAAAAAGTAAGAGTTTTAGATATTAAAAAAAACATAATTTTATAACTTCCAAAAAAAAAAAAAGATAAACAAAAAAATTGAGACAGAGAGAATAATAAAAACACGACTAAAAGAAGAAGTTATGTTTGTGTGAAATTATTGTATTTATTTTTATAATAAAATAATAACTATATTTATAAATATATGTATAAAAAATTATCATTTATTGATAGTGAATTTTTTTAATTTTACAAATGAAATCAAGATAATGATATGTATTTTTTTTATTTATATTTAAAAAATAAAAGGATCAAAATTTATAAATAAAATTTTAAATTTATTAAATATCACATCTTAAAAATGATTTAATAAATCAATTGAAATAAATTTTCAATTCATATATATATAAATATATTATATTAACTATATAAGACATTTTGGTATAAATTCTTATACTATAACTTGAATTTACCTGTAGATCCTTGGACTTCATCGAATGTGTTCAAAAAGCATATAAGGTAAGTGGCAAAAACATCCTAATAGTGGCAAATTTGTCCTTAAGCATAATGTATAGTAGATGGGTTACTATTCCTACATTTGTAATTAAATGTGATTCTTATAAACCACAAAAAATTTACAAATTCAACTTTACTCGTTTTTACTATGTATTTGTTTAGTTTTTTTTGGGTACACTTTTGATATTCTATCTAACCTTATCTTATTAAGATAAGAGGATTGGATACTCGTACCTTTCTTCAAATGTAAATTTTTTTAAAGCAAAATTATTAAGAATTGAATTTGATTATTAAAATTAAAAACTCATAATTTTATTAACAAATATGTGGCCATTGAAGATCTAAAATTTATTATTACTTAATAAATTAAATTATTTAATTTATTATAAAATTTTAGACTATACAAATAAAATTAAAAAACAACATATATTTCTTATAATATATTAAAAAATACGTGGTAATTTTTAATTCTAGTTATGAAGATAAAAATTACACTATCAATGTATTAAAATTTAATTCTTATTATTATAATTAACAGTATTTAAAAATTCTTTCCCGTAAGCTTTTTTTTTTTTTTTAATCCCAATAATGGATTTATCAAGCTTATGAAACTAACAAAATTTTGCAAGCCCATTGAACAAAAAAAAAAAAAAAAGCGACCTATCTTATTCTGAGAAAATTATTATGTCAACAAAATTAAACGTAACAGACCCATCAATATTGACTTGTCTTAGGAATCATGGGCCACTCTTATTATTAAAGGATTGTAAGTAATCTTAGAGTCTTGGAGTAAATTTTGGTCAAGCAAGGGAGAATCTATCTGGGCCTTGAGTCGCGTGTGTGTGTGTTTTTTTTATGTTTTTCATCACAAAGGCATTTTACTTTCTTGGTTGCTTCGTGGCTTAAAAAAAAAAAAAAAGAAGAGAATTAAGGATTTGTTTAATCACTATTTAAAACCCCTATGATTTGAATGATTATCTGTAATTTCCATAATACGTTGTCTCTGTGGGAGACATTTTAATGTAATTTAGAAATTTGGGAGACATTGTGAAATTTGGAAACGAAAATTTGAGAAATACTTGAATAATTTAGAGTAGGAGTAGTGGTACTGAAAGGACAAGCGTTTGAATGCAGGTGGGTTCCCACGTGGGGATTTTGTGGAAGAAAATTAAAAATGGAAGGTGACGACAGAAAGCAAGTGGGTGAGGATGAGCCCCCGGATGGGAGCAGCAGTTTCATGACCAGAAACTGTGACGCCACTTATTGCCAGAATAAGGTCCTCCATCAGACAGTATTTGGATTGGATTTTGTTGTCCACCCTGCCATACTTTTGTTCGGTTTGCCCCTTTGTAGTGTTGGTCTATTCATCAAATGAAAATCTAGGAATTCCCAACTTTCTCAGATTTTTGATTTCTGAATTTCACCATTTCTAATGTTATTCTTGGCTTCTTATCCTTCAAAATTGATTTTTATCCAAATACTTATTGGGACCACGACATTTATTCATGACAAGTTGTTTCTACTAATAAGAGGCAAGGAAAACAAGGAAGTAGACTCAATCAATCCACATGTGGTCCATAAATTTCGGGTTCCACGCGGCAACATCTAAAAGGAAGGTCATTTCTTCATTGTAATCATCTACATTTCAAACACTCTATTCTGTTGCGTGATCATTAATACAATACAAGACAGATTTTCCTTGTTAATCCCATCCACCGGGGCCCATTTTGCCATTTATACTAAGTTCATGTTTGATTGAGAAAGTTTCCAGGCAACAGTCCAAACTCAAAAGCAAAAAATGGCCTTATTGGTAGTGTTTTCTTTTCCTTCTCTCCCCATCAGGGTTTATGTTTCATTTCCTTTTTGCTTCGGTTCTCTTTCTCATTGCTGTCAGTGCCGACTTTTATAGGAGGAGTTCCAAGAGTATGCTGATAAGGCCAAGGCCTTACCTCCAACAACAAAAGATGCAGATAAACTGATTTTGTATGGGCTTTACAAGCAAGCAACAGTGGGCAATGTTAATACCAGTATGTAAATATCATCCCAGGCTTATGGTTACTGATTTCGAGTTTTGCCTTGTCAAATTGATAGATATTGTTATATCATTATTATACATCTTGCAGATCGTCCAGGAATTTTCAACCCCACAGAAAGGGCTAAATGGGATGCATGGAAAGCAGTTGAAGGTATAGAAATGGAAAAAATGGAAAATGATGTGTATTGTATCCTAAAGCTTATCTTAATCTAAAAAATTCTGAATGTATTTCACACAGGGAAGGCCAAAGAAAAAGCAATAACAGAATATATCAAAAAAGTGAAGGAGTTGCAGGGTGTAGCTGCTACGTGAGTGACCAAGCTTTGCGGCCAAGATCAGTTTTTCGACATTAATCAGTTTCCTTCATCCTTGTATTTGAATTGCTGTTAAATCTGGTTTCATTTCTGGTGATGAACAATAATAACAAGAATCTGCTCCTTTGAGACTCCAGCTTTGGATAATTTAAATACTTGCAATCTTCATGTTTCCTTTAACTCCTTTCTGTTTTAATTCTGGATTCACTGTGTACTTGATTAAATCATTTCTCATGGTTCATATATTTTCACAATTGTCACCAGAAGACAAGCATCTACTGAACTGATTGTGAAGGGCAAAAGAACTATGAATAGTCATGAGAATGAACTGATCTCCACTATATTTCCTGGATATAAATAGACGAAATGAACTGAATGAAATTTTCGCCAAACCAGTTCATTATATAACCGACCTACTTGTCATTAGGACTGACTACTGAGTTTGCACTTATTAAGATGACCTGAGTTGATATCAGTAGGCCAACTCACAGCAACAGAAGAAAAAAATGACAAATATTATTGACGGAAACAGTTGTATACTAGGTAACATAATTCCGGAGGTATTTAACTCCGGTAGCAAGGTTGTGATCTTTTTCTCAATTTACATACTAGGTAACATGAAATCTAAATTTTATTGCAAAGCGCTCTGCTTCTTGGATCTTCTATATGTTATTTCCATCACAAAGTTTCTGCCATCACCGTTCTCTGCACTACAGTTAATTGACACTGGTCCCATATCTGATGCGGCCTCTAGCCATATGTCTATCAGGTTGTTTAGCATTAAAGTTGGGACCAATGGATGACAAAAACACTTGACTTCCACCTGCATAAAAGCATGATTCCAAACTTATCTTTTGAAGGAGAGAAGTTAGGCGTGCCCACCTCTTCCCCTAACCCTTTTTGTCCTACGTGACAACCAAATCAATAGTCTATCTAACCAGCTAGTAGACCTGCAAAATCTGCAGGACAACTAAAACTGACCATTGTCTAAGCAAGACGATTATAACTTATTCATTTGTTCGTGTTTGCGGATCTGGAATTGAGTATCTCAATCCAACCTAAACAACTGACAAAGTCCATAAGCCACAGATCTCTGACTGTCCTTACTATATCATTTTAGGAACTTCAATCAAAGTTGCTATCTCTCCAGAATCCTAAAATTCCAACCTAGTCTTATACAAGATTATTGTTATGATCACTACCCTTTTGAGTAACATAGTATGAAGAAATCACAATTACTACTTACTAGCTATGAATGTATTGTTAATATGAATCAGCATGCCGGAATACCACGTTACCTCAGATTCGTGTTTGAGGTTTAGCTTCCTTGCAAGGTACTTGACCACGTAGGATACTACTAAATCTCCATTCCTGAAATAACTGCAGGAATTGTGATACCACATTAAAAATAAATCAATAGTACATTGAGAAATTAATATGCAATCCGCAATCCCCATTAATATCAAATATAAATATGCAGGAACTATAGTGTCATGGAAAAGATGACGACTTAACATAAGCTTTGGCTAACAAAACCATGAAATAATTTAACAGCCCAGGACAGTTGCAATTTTATTGCTAATCATCACTAACAGCCATCATTTTGATATCAAAACCCTGTCATGAAAGCTACCCTCTGTTTCAACTGCACAACAATTTGGCTAGTCTTGCTACATATTTGAGATAATTAAGCATTTAGGAGTTATCAGTAGTCATCGAGATTTACAGTTACAAAGGTGTGTAAATCTTCTTCATTTAGTTACCCCTAGCATCCCGAACAAAAAGTTTGAGCAGACATTTCCAAATCACGTTTAATAACAAGATTGAAGACGTTTGAAATAAGCATGAATTGTTCTGCCATGCAATATTCCTCAGTCGTGTTCCTGTAAATAGACTTTACTTACTTGGTACTGATAAAGGGTTTTGGTATCTGAGGCAATGCCATGCCTTTCCTGACAGGAATAGAAGAAAATTTTTAACTCTGAGCCAGAAAAGATATGAAGGCTTAGTCATTCAAATGTTTCTTACTTTTCCTGACATGCAAGCAGACAAAACCAGACAGGGCGTGGAGAATAACCAGGAAGCTCCCTTAGAAATACAGTTTCTTCACATTGATTGGCTGAAACAATTGACCTCCCAAGAACACTTGTACCAGGTTTTGACATCTCTTTCTCAGTCCCATTCTTTAAACATTCCTCTCTTTGGCCAGTCAGAAACTTGCAGGGCTTTCTCTTTGCCCTTGTCCTCTTCATATGTGCATTAACCTTAGTTTTATTCAAGATAGACTTGTAAGTTTCATCTTCTTCATGGCCTGCCATATGTTCCCAGCGTGGATCTTTCTTTGATCATTTTAGAGAAAATGCATGAGATAGGTTCAGATATAACAGAAGCAATTCATTCTGATACATGAAAAAAAAGACCAAAAGAAAAAGATACTCGAGGTAATGCAACATACTATGAGATGCATAAACGGTTTTAGCATCAAGAGATAATAAGAATGATACGTGCTTCTTGATGGCATTTATAGAATCATTTGAAATTTTATTTGCTGTTTGGTTCGAATGAAGATTATTCCCAGCAACATCCCGGTCATCATGAATTATTTTGGCTTCTCTTTACATGCTGAAATCTTGATGCTGTGTATTTGCTTCATTAAAAGCACATCTGCAATTATAATTTTAACAGGCGAAGCTATTGATCTCTCCACTTCACTTGTTTTTCCCGGAGGAAAATTTGCAAAATTCCCGCAAGTTATGGTCATTTCTACAAAAGGAAAATGATGGCAGTAATGTCAAGGGACAACGACCCTAGCAAAAATAAAACAGCAAGAATTGAAAACAGTAAAGAAAGGACACATGTTATCAATTCAACATAAATAACATAGGACAACTCCATGTTCTATTCAGCGTTAGTAATAAATGGAGAGTATAAAATGATAATCTGGAAGAGAGCGGAACCGTTTAAAAAAATATAGGAATGCAGTTGTGAATATATAACTGATGCAATATGTTCCAATTAATCTATATATAGCAAACCTGCTGCAAAGAAATAAAACTTACATGTATGAAGGCAGGCTCAAATAGTAGTTGCTTCCCTGTAAAGGTTTGGATAAAGGGGGCATGTTAAGAGCTCCATAATTGGTCTCCTTTGAACTTTTACCATAATCATTTGACATGATGGATGTCCTAGAATGTCTCACTTGCAATTTGCCAATGATTTGTCTCCTTGATCATTCAATTATTACAATTATCAGTAACTTCCTGCAATGAAAGCAATAAATTCCAGGAAGTTACAAAATTGTTTGATTATTGTGAGTAAAAAGATAAACCAGTGTCAGGAATCATTTATCTAGCAATAAAAAACAAGGATCACATCTGAAACCATCAAGGAAGCCTACGGCTAAACATTTGAATTCGCAGTACAAAGATAAATCATGAAGTTTAAACATCAGCTATACAGCCAAACTAGAGAAAATCCTGCTACTTTTCTCTCTAAATGCAATGCATGAAAAAGAGCAAAGGTAAAACAACAGTTAAAACAATGAGCATCTTCTTATGCGATGCTGACTGATTAGAACTAACTAAAACCAATAAACCCATTGCTTTGTTAACAACTTTGTATTTAGTATTTACTGCCATTTCAGCCAAGCAAACAAAAATTGCTCTATCACAAAACATTTAACATTTGGTATCAACATCGCAAAATGTCTCCATTTTAATCCAAAAACCCCAACGATAGGTGCAAGTCAGGCTATAAATAAAAATGAGACAAACGGATATCAACAAAAGAACACAAAAGAAAGCCATTCTAAAAACAGTTACCCCAATTTGCAGAGGAGCAATGATAAACACAGAACAAAAATTAAGCAATATATATATATATATTTATATATCTCTGAAGAAACTTCAAAGAATAATCGATCAAATAAACTGGCAGAGTACTCACTAAGGCAATGGGCAATAGCATTTGAAGAGTGTAAGAAGAGAAAGAGACAGTATTGAAATCAATGGTTTACTTATAATTCCAAAAAAAAAAAAAAAGTCTCATAAACGTTTAATCTTGTAAAATAATCTTGGCAGCGGATAATTCTCAGCTAATCTTAAAATATTTATTGCAATTAGTTGATTACCAAATATGACTAGTGTGATACGAGCCATTTTCATTTGCCAATATCAGTGTGAGTGTTGAAATCTTAGGCAGATGCATCATTTTATAGGCAGTAGGATAGAATTTGAACTTATATAAATATAGAGCAGGTGGAGTGAGAGATTAGTCATTGGGTTAGCTCCAATGAGCATGTGAATGGGCAAGAGGGTTCCATTGGCATCTGCATTTGCATGTGGTTAGTTTGAACGTGCTAGACATGCAAGGGATTAGGGATCAAGTAATTTGCCTAATTTGTTCTTTCCATATATTCCATTACAAATTTGGTTAGTATTGTACTATAGTTTCTTTTATCACAATCCCACTTTGATATTTACATTGGAATGTTAATTTTACTCCAACTATTAGTCTACAAGTTGATTTTGATGCTGTGTTTGAAAGCTCGCCCTCTCTTTTCCTCTCCATTTCTCCTCACTTCCTCATCTTCCAAAACTCAACTTTATCCACCAAAACCTCAAAATCCTGGATCACCACCATCATCATCTTCAAGTGTTTGATTTGGAACAATTAATATTCAACATTGAATAATTATGAGACGGATTGAACTTGGATGTAAGATTTTGCATGTGTATCTTGAATGCATCTTTTATTTTGAATCATTCCTTTTAGATTATCGCACACTAATGCCTATTTTTTTTGGATGAGCGTGTTTGAATGAGGATTGAAAGCATAAGAGAACTATGAATTAAAACAATTTTTGGATATAATTCCTGGAAAACACTGTTGTGAGGAAAAGGGGAATTGGTTTATTTTTGAATTAATTGATATTGTGGTGACACCATGTGCTTGAATTTTGTTGAATTCCTGAAGGTGGTCAGTAGACTTCATGAGTTTCAGCTCATTAGCCTCACACTATACCACAAGAAACATTTAAAAAAAAATCCAATCACAGAAAGCCCAGAATGTACTGGGTAATTCTGCTTCTTCTTTTGCTTGCAGACGGAGCAGATGTTAGGTTGTAGGCTTCATACA